AAAAAAAATGTAAAAACAAACGACTAGAAAAATCATGATTGATTATGATTTTTCATCGTTTATTATAAAATCCATTTGAATAATTAACAAGAATAATATTAATAAACAAAATAATATATAAATTATATGTACAAATGGATGTTTGATTAAGTAGAAGTTCAATTTGTGCTAAAAAAGAAAAGAAATCAAAAAATAACATAATGAAATCATTAGAATGTCTATTGACATAGGATGTATAAGCAAATGAGAGAACAAGATATTATTCTAAACACGTCATGTCCACTCAAAGATGAGATTAATTGTATATGCTTGGACAACAACAACTTGTAAGGATGCCGCCCTTAACAAACACACACTTTTAGTACTACCACTCATTCTTTTCTTTTCTTTTTTTCTTTTTCTCTAGACTGTTTCACAAAGCTAATCTTCTTTCCATTGACCAGATGTAATGAAACCTACCGTATGATGATGATGTCCGATGATATTTTGGTAGTATAGTTGTGGTTCTATTAAATAGAATTGTGTCTAAAAATAGAAGAAAAACAAAAAAATTTTTTTTTAATTGAATTTAAAATTTTTTTTTTTCTACCATCAATGTTTATAAATGCTTTTGAAACTTTAAATTGATTTTCTGCTTCACATTCATACATTCCAAATATATTTGTATTTGTCTAGAAAAATAAAGAAGAAAATTTTAATGTTTTTTTGTTATAAAATATAAACAAATGGAATAATATTATTCCACAGCTGGAAATCACTTGTTAACATCTGTTTTAACTTACATCTAATAAAAGTATAAGTTCAACTGTATAATCATTTATTTGTTTACGTTTTATAGTATTTATTTCAAAACGATTTCGTTTCCATTTAGCTGAATTTAATGGACGAGCTATAATTGTACAATTAAGTATTATATGAGATGATATTATTGATGATTGGATTGTCATTTCAGGTGAAACTAAAATAAAAAAAAAGAAAAATAATGAGTAGGTGTAGATGATAATAATGACAGAAGAAAAAGACATGTGTCCACTTTCGAGATTGTCTTGTCGCTTATCGCATATGCACACAATCAATCAGTATATAAGCGCATTAAAACTAATCATTATATTATCATCGACCTCCTATTGTGTTTAAAAAAGAAGAAAAAGAAAAGAAAGTTTTCTTTTCTTTTATTTTTATCTTAATTTGGATAATTGAGTCATAATACTCAAGAGTATTCATTCGTATGATAAAATATACATTTTTTTTTTTTTTTACATAATAGAAACAAAAATGATATTTACTAGATGGAAATAAACGTTTTGTACGTGTATCTCGCGGTGGTATTCCATTATCAGCAATACATTGATAATCAATTGGTGTTGTACGTGAAAGATTTTTAATCAGTAATTTATTCTCATAAGCAATAATATCTAATGAATAAAGAAAACAAAAAAAAAAATTTTTTTGTTTTAATTTATTTTTTAAAATTTCTTACTTGCATCATTTCGTTTATTTAATTGAAATGATTTTCCTGGTAGTTGCCAAATTATTTTCGGTTGTGGTATTCCTCGAGCTAAACATTTTAAAATAATTTGTTCATTTTCTTTAAGTATTTCATTCGTATTTGATTCAATTATAATATCAATTATTTTTGGTGGTGCTAAAATAAAAAGAAATATCTAATCAAATATGTCTAGCACTTTTAAAAACACTTCATTCTAGACATTGTAACTATTACTTTTAGTAAAAAAGTCAAAATGTATAGATGTTTAATAGTTCGATTAATGAAACCTAACAAAAAAAAAGAAAAGGTGTGAGAACGCTATAGGGAGTCTTCTATTATATAAAATCTGTCTCGTCATCATTGAGATGAAAAAAAAAAAGAAAGAATTTTTTGTTTTTTTATTTTGAACAAATTTTATCGGTGTTAAAAAGATATTGTTTATGTCTCATCAAAAAACAATCGGAAGCGCCTTTCTTGATCAAATCAAGTCACATATGTATGTGAGATATATATGAGCTTACTTAAAACGGTTAAATTAAATCGTTTGATGATTGTCAATGTCTGATCATCAGATGCAGATGAAATACGACACGTGTATTCTCCTGCATCATCATCTGATACATCAGATAAAATCAAAGACCAAGTCCATGCATATCTAAATAAATAAAAATATAAATGTCGAATTTTATTTTTTTTTGTCTATGATCAATTTAATACATACGTATGTTCAAGTATAAATCGTGCTCGATCACCACTAGCAATATCTTCGTCAGTTTTTGTTATTAATAAACGTCCCGTGGGTCCATAGAAATCCGCCTAGAATACATCGATTCTGTCATATATGTCATTCTAATCTTATATTATATATTTCCCATGTGTGGATACGACGTAATCATGTTTATTATGCTTATTTTATTGTAAAGAAAAAAAAAATGATAAATAACATGACAACATACTTTTTTGTTAGAATATTTTTCTGGTAAATCGCATATAAATGTAGCTGTTTCACCTGTATTCACAGATAAATTTTCCAAATAATCATCCGATAATATTATTGATGTAGATAATAATAAACCAAAACTAATGATTAAAATTGAAACCATATGAAGTGTTTTGTTTTTGTCTTTTTTTTTTTTGTTTTAATCACGTAGTTTTTTCATTTTATATCTATTCAAATAGAAAACACAGAAAAACAATGCCACAAGAATGTTATAGTAATGCCAGCAGCATCACTCGTTCATTATTCAAATGACTTTTTTTTCCATCTCTCTCTCTCTCTTTTTTTCTCCTCTTCCTTTCTCTGTCTCTGTCTTTCTTCATCTCTCTCTCTATCATTCTTTTTTTTCTCTGTCTTGTCCATAGAATGAGAACATACACATAATTATAGTTGAGCGTGTATGTGAGTGTGTGTGTGTGTTCACTTTTGATGCGGTTCATGCGTGCATAGGACTAGAGAAGAGAGAAATAGAAAGAAAAAGCATGACTGATTATCATCTTTGCTTATAAAGAATTGTATGAAAGCGATTGTGAGGAAAGGAAATTATGGACCTTGGACAAATTGAAAAAAATCATCTTACTGGAACATTAAACAGCGTGTATTCACGCACACTTATATATATATAGATATATATATATAAATCCCTCGGCTTTCGTCATGTTTATTTCATTATAGTCTATCTACACAATGAGATTATTCAAGGACAGAAATTCTTTTGTTTTCTTACGCTACACCCAAAATTAATTGTGAAATAATATTGAACAAAAGAAAGATAAGCATTTTTGTGAGACGATTATTAAAAAAAAGTAAAGAGGTCAGAAAAGGAAAAAGAATTATTCACCTATGTTTAATGATCCATAAACATTTGGATATTTAATGTTGTCGGTGGTTTAGTCAAGGTATACACTTGAATAGTTCTCCCTCTCTCTCTCTCTCTCTCCCTCCTGCTAGTCTGATTAAATTCAAGCACATACATACAATTAGAATAGAACTTGTTTGAAGATTTGATTTTTCTCTTTTTTCTTGCTTATTATAAAGACGACGAAAGGAAGTGCACTGCCGAGAATAGAAAGAACAGAGTGAATATATTCAATCTGAATACAAGCGGAAAAACGACAATTGTACGCGACAAACAATTGTATGACCTGCTGTTTCTAAATGTTCTGTATGTACGTTCATATACAGTTGGAATAATGATAGAGTAAAGTATTAATTGAAATAGGAGAAAGGAACAGCGGCAGTATTGAGTTCAAATTTCTCTTTTTTCTCAAAGAATAAAAAAAAAAAAGAACCGACGAACAAAGACATGATCAAAGTGCATTCACTATGATTCTATAGTTCATTGTTATAATCAATATATACACATATATACAGAATCAATGAGATACTAGATTACTCAATCTATTTGGATTGCCTTGTTGTCTGATCTCATAAATGCATATGTATGAGAAACAAAGAACAGATGGAAAAAATGAAGGACAAGATTGCAAACATTATCTATCAACAATCATACAGGCAAAAATCGTAGCGACAATTTATTTCAATTTTTCAAGTTGATCTTTTCTTTTTTATGACTATTTAAGTGATGTTGAAGTACGTCAATTAATTGAGAGGCCAAAAAAAAAAGAAAAATATAATTCAAGTACTATCGAATTATATACACATAACTGTTTCTATTCAATGACATTTTTATCAATAAAAGATAGGTTTGGAAAAAAAACGAAACAGGTTATATTTTGTGCAAAGAATTAACAAATAAGAAAACACCTTTGGCTACATCTTGACCTTTTTCTAAACTGAAGTAACAATGTATTAAAATCAATTCTAAAAGTCGGAAAGATTTTTTCATATGAGACCTGATGCTTAAAAGCTTTTGTTACATCATCAATAGTCATTGGTATACGTTATTTGCACTATGTCGATTCAACATGCACAGGAACAAAAATGTATTACAATAGGAAAATGATTGATCAAATAGCTAATTGATGATAGAAACAGAATATCACGTTTAGCTTGAACTAAACGCATTTGTTTTGGTTATTATTCACCAATGATATAGAAACACTATCTTACATGAGATAGGAAAAAAAATTCTCCGATGACATGATGACCTATTAATCGTTTACACAGGATTATTGATTTTATTGTTTAATACTCTATCTATAAAATAGTGAACTGTAGATGAAGAAATATTTATACATCAATCGATTTATTGTTTAACAAAAGGATTAGATTTATTTCATGTTTATCGTGATTGTTGATCATGGATTATTTTTAATTTAAATTTGAGCAACTATCTTGTTAGTAAAAGTTTTAATTTTTAAACAAATATAATTTATTCTCTTAATATAATTATAAAATAAATTTGTAATGAAATAAACATTAGCATATTTAAAAATAAAAAGAACAAAAACTATTAAAATAATATTAAAAAAAAATATTTTCACTGAAAAATACGCATACAAATCAATTAAAGTCTATGAAAATTTTTCTTTTCTTTTGGCTTTTTTTTTTTTATACAGCAGTTCGTGCAATTACTACTGTATGTGAAGTTTCATTACCATAAATCTCGTCTTCAGGTAAATGCCAATTTTCTTCATCATCAAAATATTTATCTTTTTGAGCAAATATTGGTATGCGTAATATAATACCTGTTATAAGTCCACCAACAATAGCCATACCTAATGTAAGTCCAAGTGCAGCTGCTTGATATGCAGATTGAGTATGATTCTCTCGAGATTTTCCACCACTAAGACATACATTTGTTAAATGATTTAAAAACCCTGAACGATCACCAATCGAAGCAACAATAATTCCTGTTATACCAGCTATTAATCCTGGCATTCCATGTAAATTATTCACACCACATGTATCATGAATACGTATACGTTGTAATTTAGGTAAAAGAAAATGATAACCTAAAACTGATATCATACCAGCAAGTGTACCGATAACCATTGCACCATGAAGACCAATATTTGATCCTGATACTGTTCCAACTGCAACTCCACCAGCTAATGTAGAATTTTGTATATGAACCATATCAAGTTTATTTTTTTTAAGAAAAGATGACATAAGAAAAGCACCAATAACTGAAGCACATATGGATATATAGGTATTCGTAACAGCATAAAGACGATCAATACCACTTGTAGTACCAGCATTAAATGATGGCCAAAAACAAAAAAGAAATATTGTACCAATCATTGCAAATATATCTGATGTATAACGTGATTTTTCTAGTGAAGAATCAAGAACATCCGAATGAAATAAAACAAATGTAACAGCTAAACCAAAATATGCACCTAGAATATAAAAATTATTTGTTTTCTTTTTGTCAAAGATAAAAATAAATTTAGTCTTATTACCAAATGCATGAACATACATGGATTCACCAGGGTCAAAAGCACAAAATAAATGTGTACCGATCCATTCATTAACAACTTGTATAGGTACTTCAATAAATGACATTAAAATTAATTGAACAGCATTTACTTTTCCTAAAACAGCACCCATTGATATAAGTATACTAGCTGATACAAAATCTGCTGTTGCTAAACTTTGTATATCAACTATAAATTTTTGATTATCAGAACTCCAATCAAACAGATAACCACGTATAATTATAGCCCATTCCAATGTAAAAGCACATAAAATAAAATTAAATCCAATAGATGAAAATGAATATCGACGTAAAAATGTCATTAAAAATCCAAAACCAATAAACATCATAACATGAATATCAGTGAACATAGCATAGTAAAACTCCACAAGACCACGCGGTGGTTCTTCAAAATTAGTAACATTTGAAACTGGATAATATTTATACTCACTATGAAAGCCAAGTAAAAATGTGAATGCAATTTGAAAAAGAAGTAATATTAACGAAAATAAAAATTGACGAAACTTGACCATTTTGTTATGTTTAATCTAAGAAGAGATATCTTTCAAAATGTAATATATGTTCAGAAAGAAAAAAAAAATTTACTGAGAAAATTTTCTTTTCTCTACTGAAACAAATCTGTAACTATAACGTTCAAAATTTTGTACTCGAATTAGATTAAAAGAAAATGTTTGCATCTAAAATTAGTTGAATCGGAAATCTATTTGATGAAAATTAGTTAACACTACTCTTATTCGTTTGTTGTATGCTTTGAATATTTTATTTTAACTATTATTTATAAGAAAGTTGACAACAAAGATATGAAATGTAAATATTAATAAAAAGATATCACAAAAGAAATCAATGCTTCGTCAATAGATTTTTTCAGATTTGTAAAATATTTTATAAAACGGACGAAAAAGGATCAACAAAAGGAATCAAATTTCATGTTTCTTTCTATTTCAAGAATATTGTATTTTTCGCAGGCAAAATTTCGATAGAATTATTGTCTATTTTTCAATATGATTTCGTATTTAACGGCACAACTTTATTGAAATATTAAAATGTACGTACTGTCATTACAAAAAAAAAATGGAGCGATGTTTAGTTTATATCAACGCATCAATTATGACCTTACATTATAGTTCTTAAACAATGTGTTTGTTTTTTCGTGTAACATCGAACGAACAATGTATTCATAGGAATGTACTTCTTTTTTATATTTACATATAGAAAGCCTGTTAAATGTCGAAAGCAAATAATCGAAAATGAAAATGTTGTAAAATAGTAGTTCTTGTTTAGTTTAGATGAAAAACTATTTCCTTGTTTTGATCAACAGAATACATATATATGCTCACATGGCACAAAACTAATGATGAAAGAAAGAAATCTATTATCGGAAGCAAGATTTGGATTTGTAACATTTTTATTGTGGACATTAACCATCAAACGGTTTCATATTCAATCTATTTTATTTATCAAAATGAGATTAAATAATGCATTATGTAGGATTTGTTATTCGTATGAGTGCGATAATTTTTTAAAAGTAGTTCTGATCTAAGGAACGTTACAAAGACAAGTTCCGATTAAAATAAACTACTCCCATATATCAGTTCCTACTAAAAATACTTTTCGACAATGTTATATCTCATCTGATTTAAACATGTTGACCTGTATTCATTGTAGAGCAATGTGTGTGTTGAATGATTGAATATTTAACACGAAATTTTCGTGTATTTGTAACATGTTAAATCAAATTTGTTTCTTGTGACATGTATGAATTCGATAAAACAAAAAGAAAACGGAAAAAAACAAAAAAAATGTTATATTGTACTTATGCTATTTGAATCCACAATGTTCATGAACCAACGCAAACTATGGCTACAGGACTGTTTAAGAATGTACCAACATAATATATAGGTACAACAGCAAACTATTTGTGCAATGCTAATCAATAGATGAGCTGAAGCAACATAAACCGAGTCCTTGATACTTTTAACTTAAGACATTTTTCCTTTCCACTAATTTTATACGATTTGTTTTTATTCTATTTATTGAAACATTTCAAACACAAGAAAAAGTTAAATCGATAAATAGAATGAATCTGATACTTCTGCTTCATAATAAAGTCAATAGTAAGGTATTCTCATACCTCAAAACGTATTTTTTATTTTGTAATGATGCATAGGGAAATAATAGAAACTGTTCATTGTGTTTCTGCACGACTAGAAACACATACATGTGGTAGTAACAGAAAATTGTAATCGACGTTTTCGCATTAAAATCCAAGGTTTTTTCTCGGCTTATTTATCATTTGCATAAGTCCAGAAAAAGTCAGAATAAATCAAAACAAAGAAAATAAATACTTCATGTCTATTTGAATTCGATTCTATCCGATCTAGCGAATCATAAGGGTATGATTGGTTTTATGCATTCAATTCAACAAGATTTTTATCATTGATATATTTGGTCAGCCATAAACTGTTTTGCTGTATTTAGAAGGTCAGCATAAGACTGAATAAGTTAGAAAAACACCATTAATAAATTCATTTTTGATATTGATGATAAAAAAAAAATGAGAAAGTAGTTATTTAAAATTTCTTATGAATTTTTATGACAATCTGATCAATTTCTCCTATAAAGGTCAACACTGCATATGATCCATGACAAAAAAATCTTCAAGAAATGAAAATCATTTTTTCGCCTTTTATTGTTTGTTTCATGAATGTTACTAATTAAATAAAAAAAATTATGATTAATATTAAGAAGCAAGCTAAATAGATTTGTTTACGTAAATCTATACACATATCGATATAAAAACATAGGGTTTTGTATGCAGTTTTTTCTCTTTTGATTTTAGACACTAAATTGTGAGACAGTGATTTTTCATAATGGTAGAATTTATGAAATAATCTTCTTCTTTTTCTGTCTCACAATCATATTTTTAAACTGAAAAGCAAAAAATTAGACATTTGTGTATATGAATATAACCGTAAATATATTTTGTCTTACGACATAATATTTATTATTCAAGAAGAATTTAAAAGTATAAGTCTTATTTATAATAAATATTATTTATCAGTTTTATCTTGGGATGCAACAAATCCAAGGCCTCGGGATTCGGTATACAACAGTTTGAGCTTAGTTTAGTCTGGAATTTAGATTTGGGTTTGAGATTGGTCCTAAACTACCCAACCTGATGAGACTCTGTAAGGTAAAATATTAGAAGAGAGAGAAGAATCCCAAGCCTTCAAAATTGATATGAAATAGTATGGATTTGCGTAGACAATTCAGTGTGATGCATGCTATACTGGTTGTAGTTAGATCCTTAAATAGTTGGCTATCTTCTGTCTGGTATTCTACTACAGTACATCAATAATTTTTTACTGACTGGCAATTCACTAGTATTATATTGGTGGTGATATCGATAAACTTGTGACGCAAAAATAGTCGAAATTTTTGTAATTTTTTTCAAATTATTCATTGAGTTTTAGCATTTATTGTTAAATATTCTCATTATTAGTATTGACTATGGAGAGGACATTAACGACGACCGGTTCATTGGTGACTAGTATTCATTGATATTGATAAAGAGGTTACCAGTTTGAACCAGTCAAACAGTGATTTACGCCACCATTATGTCTTCAATATTGACTATGGCAATCGTTGGAAGCAAAATTTTGATATGAATTAACATAGAATATATAATAGAAATTGTGTCTGATTTTGAAATATGGCGCTAATATAGTTTTTCGATTATTGAGAGATCATAATGCATTTTTTTATTTTTACAAATTCAAAACAAAATGAATTCCTCATTAATAGAAACCTGTGAAATTTAAATAATTTTCATTGATGTACTTAGTTGACATTTAGCAGATAGATTAAGTAAATAGTGAGTTGAAGAGACTATTAATTATAGTTATCTTCAACACAATTGTTTGTCTAAAAGAAAACTCATATAAAATTTTTTGGATATTTTTATCTTTATTTCAGTGTAGTTAAATTTTTATTAACATTTCTAAAAAAATAGTTTCACATGAAAACTATCGATTAGAAGCCTATGTCTTGAGAAAAAAACTCAAGATATCGTTACCATAAATCATAATCAATACAGTGATCAAGTGCGAAAATTGTTATGAATATGATCATTAATATGAAACTAAATTTTGCAATTTAATTAAAAGAATTTCTATAGAGTAAGATAAATATCAAAGATTTTCTAGTTTATTGTATATTACTTATATAGAAAAGAAATCTTTAATATTACAAATTGTTCATAATTCAACAGTATTATATTAAGCAAACATTAAATGAATACATAAAAAAAAATATAATTCACATTTCATTTTGACTCAGAGAGTTCTTTTGCTTTTAGCAAGCAATATTATTTAATACATGAATCAGCTCTCTTATTGATGATGCTTCTGGTTCGGAATCAACCCGAATATTAGTATGAGCTACTCCTCTTGCAAAACTATACAAATAAAATAAATGAATAAATATAAAATAAAACAAATTGAAACATACAAAAATATAAATCTGGTACAAATTAAATTTTGATCTTGAATTGTCCAAATATCATTGGAATGTTTTTTATATACATCCGGTGAATTAATAACTAAGAAAGAGAAAGTAAAGTAAATTTTCAAAATTAAATATTATTTTATTACTTTCACATAAAGCAATACAAGCCCAATTTCGCTGTTCAAGAGGAGATTTCTAAAACAAATATCATTGTACATTTATTATACTTTTAAAAATCTACTAAAGAGAAACTCTTTTTGATATAGTTAAGTCTTTTATATAGACAAAGTATTTGCTTAATCAATAGATCAAAATGAATCATAGAATAATTTTGAATAGTTTGTTTTATCAAATCTTCTGAACAGAAATGACTACTGATACTACAAAATTACGACTATTGTTATCAATTTTTCTACTAAACAAAATATGATCTGTCACAAAAATTAATACTACTACTAATAAGCCGTCATTTGTTAACTATACTTTCAAAGTTCGATATAATTTTGTGTAACGTATCAATTCATTGTTAAAATAAAGCATAACCTATGTATAGAGATCAACGCAAGGCGGCTTCCAACGCCAACTCCAACAGAGTGAGAGTTGATATAGATTATAGAGCCTCCGAAAACTCTTTTTTCATTTTTTTTTCTTATGTAACATTACTTGGTGAGAATTATCCCAAACTTCGGTTGCATTTTGTGGTTCTTTTTTCTATGGTACTAATTTAACAGAATCGTCTTCTTTTCTTATTAGATCCCGAATCTCTTTGCATAACAAGATCTTGACAGTCGCTCCAAGTATATCGGATAGATAAACATACTCAAAAATTTAATCGATTTTTATTCTTCTGTCTAACATTTAACATATCTATTTATTCGCTCCCAATACTTTTAAATCAGATATGATTCGTGACAAGGGGGAACAAACTGATTACTTGATTACCAATGATTACTAGTGATTACTGGTGATTACTGGTGATTAGGGGTGGGAAGTTACCGTTACGTTCCCGGGTAACTGGTAACGGTTTCGTAACCATCTCCGTCCCCAACCCGAGCANGTAGCCTTCTAACAGAACATCGCCTGAAAAAGGTCTCAAAATGCACAAAAACTGCATCCAGAAACCAAATTGCCTAGATGTGTTTCAGATGACCAGTAGTTTTGAGGTTTCCCAAATGCCTGATTTTTTAGCTAGTCAAAAGGACTATCGAAAGTTATCGTGTTAACGGCCGGACGGACGGACGGACGGCCGGCCGGACGGACACACTGACCGATTCTAGAGTGTACTCACTTTTTGAGTACACAATAATGCTGATAATATAACTTGTGATACTTGTCACTATTATGAGCTTCAACAAGAATTGAGTTTGGTGCAAACTGTATATAGCTCGTTTTAACACACTCATATATGTAGAATGTTGAACATATTCTTCTCAAATTAACTTAAGTGCTATGTTAAAAAAACACGACACTTTTAAATGCATGAAGAAAAAAACGATCACTGTACTTAGATATAAATCTTTTGCTAGATACACAATTCCATTTCTTCACTGGATTCTTTTCTATTAATATAAATTTGACGACTTCAATAAACTCTATTACACTTATATTAATCATGTACTTAAGTCTGATGGTTCAAGTATTAGTTGGATTTTATCAAAATCTTTTAACTGATCTCAATCATAAACTTTTGACAGAGAAGAAAAAACATACCATCAGCAATACAATACAAACGATTACATTAGTTATCAATAAGTTTTTCTCGCAATTTCCATTGCATATTGATCTATTATCTTTGGACGACTTATGTAACTAAAAACAATGTGCTTTCATACAAATCGCTTCAGTAATCCTTTCCAAATTGCATGAAACATATGAGATATTACATGCTTAATAGGAGAATAGAATAACAATGGAAGTATATGGTTACTCCATTTCCAACGAAGTTTGCGGAGAGAAAGAGCAAAAGCAGCATGCTTTGATCGAACAGTGATGTTGCGCAATGAAAAAAAAGATACTAAGTAGATGGTCAAATTTATCTAATAGCAACAAATTACTTAATGTATTTTAGACATAAAATTGAAGTAACTAATTTTTTCTATATCAATTATATTATTATCATCCGTATAAGTCAAAAGGTATGAACTATTGAAGTTGAAAAGCTTCAAATGTATTCAAATTCAACAAAAAAAAAAAACTTTCAAATTAGTTTTGAATCTTATTAGTCGTCACTATCATGATGTCGGACATATGATCTAGATGATTATACGTACATGAATGCTTGTTTTAGTTATATAAATGAAAATCTTTTATTTATTCTCGGCATTTTGAAAAGATTCGTGTAATAAATCTGTATACTTATTCATTTGTCCAGAGTATTAGTGAGTTCGATGATGTATAAAAATGCTTCGCTTCATGAACGTTAAATGTCATAGAGAATTAGAAATCATTTTCATTAACAATACATTGTCTATGGCAAAGTAAAGCTTAATCTGTTTCTAAAATAAAATAAAATATCTTTGAAAATTAATTGTTTGATTAGTAGATAATGATATTCAAGTCTTTCCTGAACTCGTATTTATCATGAATCAAAAGTTGTCCTATTCATTAGGTGTGGGTATGGTTGTGGACGTGAACTAAATACCCTATGTATACCCAGTCACTTTATGAAAGTTTTTTAAGGTTATTAAATAGATATAGAACTCCAACGTAGGATTAAGATAGACCAGATATGAACCATTAAACAAGTTCACTAATGTTTCAATTCAATTACTTAACTCAATAGCACAATTATGAATGTATCGTTACGTATTTTGTTCATTTCTGTTGCATTTAATCTCTTTCCAAGATCATGACAATGTCGAATAGTCAATATACGGAAAATGATGACAATCAAAAGTGATAGAAGAGTTCTTTATAGAAATGATTGACTAAAGATCACCGATAGCAATATACGATCTTGATATAAAACATCTGTTTCTAAAAAGAAAACATTGTAATTATCAATTGAATAGACTGTCTAGATTCACAAAAAGAACAAAGTGACACAAATCTGAAGCACAAAACATATTGATCATTACATACGAATACTATGAGTGATAAATCACTATCATCAGAAGATAGTGATTTGTATCGAGTAGAATTTTGCAATAGATAAAAGAACATCTTACAGGATAAATGTTGTGAAGATTAATAGAAACCTTGAAAGTTGCTTCAACTAACACTAAACACATTTATAATAGGTACTGCAAAAAGAAATGGACGACAAGAATTTCGAAAAAAAAAAATCTTTACTAGTAAACATATAGATATATATTGATTATATTTCTTCAAACATGAATAATCAGAAATATATTTATTATACATTTGAGTCATCCATACACAACTATTTACTAGAGTAAAATTTATATTGTTATAATTTTTTAAACTATATAGATAAGTACTAAAAACGTTAATTATGATAGTAGATTTATGAAATATGAAAGATAAAATAAATATTGAATATGAACTTATGTCTTTCAATAACGGGATTAATTTAATCGTCTATACAACGATGATACTTATAATTCGACCGTATTTATTGATAATCACGTGAACTATAAAATAAGACTAAACATTTTTTTTTTCATTCTAATGTTTAAAATTGATACGGATGTTCATTTAATATAAAAATACAGTGAGCTACTAGTTTAATATCAACTTTAACGCAACAATAGGAAGACGAAGGTCAACATTCAACTTAAGAACATATCATTACCTCACCAAATGATATTTTGACATTTGTTAATAAGCTTAAATGACATACATTCAGAAATTATCATTGATAAGAATTATCCTTCCATGCAACAATTTAGTTATGACCTTGTTGATAGCATCATTCATTAGTCCTTGAATTAATTCATGGTATTATTGAAGCAGCAAGTTCAGGATAGAATTACTTACAAGCGGTTTTTCTATGTCAATTCTGTTTGTTTCCGCTACATCTATAAAAAAAAGAATATAGAATATTATGACATTCAAATTGATAGATGTGAACAAACCAATTTAAAAGATGTATGCATAGTTGAGAAGCTTATAATGGAATGAAACTGCCTCAAAAATAATATGAAGATAAATTTATAAATATTTGAATGTTGATATTTCTATAGTTTTGAAAGATTGATCTCGTCTTGTATTTTAAAGTACTTTTAAAACTCTTTTATATCATTTTGTAAAGCTATTACAAAGGCAATATTGAAATTACAATATCGATATATTCATATAACAAATCATAGTGAAAAACTTCTAAATCTAAGCATTTTTTTCTACAAGTTATTTATCTTCTCTTACAATTTAATTCTTTTTCATTTTTTGTATAGTTTTCTCATTGATGATATCTAACTTTTAATTCAGTATAATCAATAGAGAATTTTCAAAAATAAAGCGAAATAATATGTCGATAAATTATCAGTAACAACATACTAAGTAAATACTTTACTTATTCGAAATTATTTTTCGAAGAAGAACGAAACTTCAACATGTTTGTACAAGTATATAATCCAGATACATTAAATTTTCTTTTGAATGCCAATAATTCATTAATCGTCATCACGCTATTTGAAGATGAAATGATTACTTTAAAAAGCAATTCAGCGAACCAGACTATCGACAAAATGACATAGACCTTGAATAGACAATAAATGAAAAAGAACATATATACTTTAAAGAAAAAAAGAAAAGAAATCATCATTCTGTTCGTTTTATCATCAATGGTGTTGTCATCTAATTTTTTAATCGCATTGCTCACAATTCTACAACTCAAACATCAACTAATCGATTCATGCAATCATAATGCACCATGTGGTTGTTCAAACAAATCTCGATTACATTCAAAAATTATCGGTGGACAAACTGCTAGAATAGAAACATGGAGTTGGGTAGTATCAATTCGTATTCAACACATATTTCGATGTGCAGGATCAATTGTATCAAACTCATGGATCATAACAGCAGCACATTGTTTTTCAATAGTAAATGATTTAGGAAACAATATCTTTCGAATTAATACTTCCGACATTACAGTACATGCTGGTTCAAATCATCGATATGGACAAAATCAGTTAAGTAAAGTAACTGACATTATTTTCCATCCTAATTTTGATCAATCCAATTTTAATAATGATATTGCTTTACTCAAATTATCATCACCTTTTAATATGACTGATAACATTTTAGGTAAGATATGTTTACCAAATATGTCTTTGAATGGATATCCACCTATAGATTCATTAGTAAGTACTATATAATATACTCGATTAAGTCACATGTTTGGATATGTTTTTAAATTTTCAGCTTGTTACAGTCGGTTGGGGTAGACTTTGGGAAAATGGTCCGGAATCTTCGACACTTCAACAAGTTATATTAACAGCAGTTGATTATCAAAATTCCACTTGTTATCCATTGATCTATGATCAATTAAAACAATTTTGTGCTGGTGTTGAAAACAGTAAAAAAGGTAAAGAGTAGAAGAATAATTCATTAATAAAAAAAAAAAAAAAAATATTTCATCTTTATAGATACATGTCAAGGTGACTCTGGTGGTCCTCTTATGATGTTTACATCAAGTAAACAATGGGTTATTGTTGGTGTAACATCGTTCGGTTACGGATGTGCACAACCAGGATATTCTGGTGTCTATACACGAATAACAGCTCATTTAGATTGGATATATTTGTTCATTAACAATACAAATGATTCTATATATCCTTACTCATTAATATCAAATAGTCCATTTAATGATGATGATATCGAATGGCAAATTAACATGTCTTTTCGTCATTCTATGTCTTTAGATTTATTTATTATATTGATATCAATGTTGTTATGTTTAATCACGATATGTTCTTCAAATTAAAATTATTTTCAAATGTTTTCATTTGTTTGAATCAAAACGAAAATAATAATGAAAACCATTCTTCATTCGAGTATTTATATATTCATGAAAAAGAAGAATACAAAAAAAGCTTTTTTTTCATACATAGACATAGACTGCAAAAAGAAACAGTGACTAAAATATTGATAGAAAAAAAAAAATTCAAATGATATTTAAAAAAGAAAGAAGACAAAATCATCTTTTTAGTTCATTCGGTTTATGTTCATATTTATTTTTTAATAAACGTAATTCATCTTCAAGTAAACGAATTCGATTATCTTTTAATGACATAAGTTCACGTAATGATTGCACTTCTTCTTGTTGTTTTAAAAATGCTTGACGATACTAAATTAAAATAAATATATAAGGAAAAAGATAGATATATAAATGTTTCTTTTTACTAACATCAACTCCATTTGTTTGTTGTTGAACAGATGGATGATGTCCATTAGGATTATTATGATACAAAGTTTGCTGTTGTAGTTGTTGTTGTTGTTGTTGTTGTGGTGATTGTTGCTGTTGTGGTGGTGATTGCTGTTGTTGTTGTTCTGATGTATCAACGCTCCATACTTTTTTTTTGACTTCAACACTACGTCGATTTTGATTGTTATTATGTATTGGTGATTGAGATTGTCGTTGTTGTTGTTGTTGACTAATTTTAGTTTGAAATTTATCCCTGAAGAAAAGAAAAATGAAATTTTTAATCAAATGAAAAACAAATGATAAATAATGCACAGCAAATAATAAAAGAAAACAATTTGACAATATAGAAAAAAGATTACACTTCATTCCATGCTTGGCTAGACAGCCAAACTACCTCTCTGGTGTATTTGAGTTTTTATCATGGATCATTGATTGAACTGACCGAGGACCAGTTTGTTGTAAAGGTACGGAAACCGATGAAACATAAATAGGTTCTTCAAGAATTTGTGATGGTGCTGGAGGTGGTGGTGGTCTTCGTTTAAGAATTGAACCAGTTGGTCGTTGTTGAGATAAATTCATTGTTGAATAAGTATTCGAAAGATTTTCAAGTGATGACGATGTGTCATCATCATTTTTATTCTCTGACACCAACGATGTAAGATCGGGTGTAGATTGTGTATGACTCATTTTTTTCTCTGATGGAAAAGGTTTAAATGAAGAACGAAGCGTTTTGTACAGATTACGATTTAATGGCGTATTCGGTACAGTTGCTGATGTAATACTAACTGGTTTAGGTGGAGAGACTTTACGCTCTCGTGGTGGTGGTTGTGGTTGTGGAGAAGGAATAACTTCATCACTGGAAAGAATAAAATAGCGATGCAAAAAAAAAACAAGAGATATCAATATCATTTCGAAATGCAACTATAAGGTGTATAAAAAGCTAGGAAGAATGTCGAACCTGGTATCCAATAAAATTCCACATGAACTTGTACGTCCTAAACGACGCCGAGTTGCAAACTGGCGTCGTTGTACAACAGCTGATTTCTTTTCCTCTTTTCTACTAATATGAATTAAGTAGTTTTTAATCTATGAATTTATTATTCTAAAATATTTCCTATGAAAATCATTCTTACCTAACATTATTAAATTCTGTACTTGTCGCTGGCATTTTTAATGATTCAATTTTTCTTAAGCCTTTAGAACTCGATTGATGTTGATGCTGATGTTGTTGTTGTTGTTGTTGTTGCATATTTACCGCTAATTTTTCAATTGATACAGGAGATGGTGGTGATTGATCAATAAGATTTTGTTTAGGTGTAGGTGCAACTTCTGCAACTGGTGGTTGAATAGTACGTTGTGGTGTTCCACGATGAGGTAGAATAGGCGTTGATGTGGTTGAATCAAGTGTTCGATATGTTGTAATCTTTGGCATATTTGTACCTTCAACTCGATCTTTCATTGATACAAGTATTGGATCACGATCAATACCAGATATCCATTCTTCGGCTGATAATGCTGGATATGGACCTGGAGTATCAGGATAAATATCTAATTGAAATGCTTCAGCTTTACGTGGTACTAAAATAAAAAGCAATAGATTTAAAGAATAAAAAATAAAATAAAATAAAATAAAATACAAACCAATCATAGAAATAGGTTCACATACAGATCCAGTAGCAAATAATTTATAAAAACGCATTATTTCATTACGTGTTACATCAAGACCAATTTTTGGCATCATACCTATAAAAATAAAAATTTTCTTTAATACAATAAATAAATGTTTTCGTTTTTTGTTTGAATAAATTTTACCAAGACAACGTTGTGGCGAAGAAGATTTATATTCAGAAAGAAAATATAAATATGGTTCGCCTTGATCACTCACTTCATAATAACGAATATTTCCATCACCCTAAAATAGTTTTTAAGTAGAATGATTAAAAAACAAAACTAAAATACTTTTTTTTTTTTTCTTTCATTTTTCTTACTTTTCCAGCTAAATAAATTGTACGTGTATCATGATCATAAAATGGAATAAGAGCACCGGCACTAAAATCGATTGTTTCAACTATTAATGGTTTTGTTAAATCATTCTAAATTTAATACTCAATATTTAAAGATTATTTTATTTAATAAATTCATACAAGATTCCAAATAGCTATTTGTCGTTCAAATTGTTTTCCAAAACCTGTTGATAAAATACGATTTGTATCGCCTAAAAAAACAAGTTTTGATGTTTTTGGACCTTGATGACCGATTCCTTTCTATGAACAAAAACAAAAATAATATAAAAGAAAAAAATTAACTTCATTTTACCGAAATAATTCGACCAGTACGTGGTTCAATAACACGTATATTTTTATCTTTACATGTCGTTGCAAATAATGAACCATTTCTATTCCATGCTATTGATTGTATTGCATCTGGATGACATCGATAAACTTGTATTGGTTCAGCTCTTTCAACATTCCATAAAACAACTTGATGATCAAGTCCAGCACTTAATATAAGATTTTGTGCTGTTGGATGCCATTCAATATAATCTACACGCCTTTGATGTCCATGTAAATCAACTTTCCATTGATATGTATCAGATTTTAAACCATCATTTGGTATATACCAAACTTTAACTGTTCCATCATCTGAACATGAAGCTATTTCATTATCATTAAATGGATTAAATTTAAGATCAACGACTGGACCACGATGACCAGTTATACGTGGATGATCAACATCGACACGACCAACCTAAATCAAATATTTAGTTGATAAAGAAGATTAATAGAAATAATCGACAAACTTCAGATAGAAGTAAAACAAGAAAACTACCCCCACCACTTGTTTCAGTTACAATTGCTAAAAATTTTGAATTAACAGCACAAAAACTTCCATCATGTGCATTACGTGTGATAGCTATATTTTTATAACAATCTTGTTCACGATAAGGTGTACCAAATACATGACGAAATTTTGAGATGCGAACTTTGAATGGCATCTAAATAAAATTAAAAAAACAAAAAAACAAATATTTTTTTAAAATCAACTAAAAAAGTTATTTCTTTGTCTTTTTCTTTAGAATTTAAGCATAGAAATTAATTTGATTATATAATAAAAATAATTATTTCATATAATAAATTCATTCATTGTTATATTTTTATGTCAAACAAACTACGAGATTAATATTCATTTTTTAAGTCAAAATCCATGCTTGTTTTTTCTACTCACTTTCTCTTCTTATATTAATCTTCGGCGTTCATTCTTTTTTTATTCACAAGCTTGCATAGATGCGTGTCCTAAGTGTATATGGTATGCTAATCTGTCATGAGGCATGCGTGAGCTTCGAAGCCGCTGTTCAACTTAGTGTGAATCATCACGAAAAGAAAGAGAGAGTGAGTGAGAGACCGCTTATTATACTTGTATGTGTTGAGAAAAAGAAAAACGTTCTGTTTCGAGTTGATGATGTATAAAAAGTCTTACTCTGCTACTAATTCAATGTTAGAACAAGGAAAGTAGAAAAAAAATAAGAGAAGAACGATAAAGCTTAAAGCGTATAGATTGACGAGTTCAACCATCATCACCAATACAAGAGACAAATGAAGAATATTAAATAGTGTCCCGTTGGGTTCAGAAGTATTCATCACGAAGAATATTTATCAGAATGGCATAGGTCCCATTCGATTTGCCTCCTCGTTTTTCTTTTTGCTCTTTATTTCTTACATAACTTATTCTTCTCATTTACTCTCTTTTTTTTCTGTTCGACTAGCTATATTCATACCAGGCATACTATTGAACATTATAAAAGCCAAAGAAATAATAGTTCCTATCTACCAAACGTTCAGCATCAGAAGCACCGGTTTCTTTCTTTTTTTTTTTTCTATTCATTATTTTTTTCTCTTATGAATGTATGCTTGACCCTACTACATCACATTACGCGGGCATCAAGAAAGAAAAAAGAGAGAAAAAAAGGAAGAAGGACAGAATAAAAAAAAAAAAAGAAAGAAACCGGTGCTTCTGATGCTGAACGTTTGGTAGATAGGAACTATTATTTCTTTGTCTTTTTCTTTAGAATTTAAGCATAGAAATTAATTTGATTATATAATAAAAATAATTATTTCATATAATAAATTCATTCATTGTTATTTTTCTTGTCTATTGATATAA